GGGGGAGCATCGAGGAGCACGGGGGAGCACGGCGGAGCACGGGGGGCACGGGGGAGCACGAGGAGCACGGGGGAGCATGTGGGAGCACGGGGGAGCATCGAGGAGCACGGGGGAGCACAGGGGAGGGCAGAGATCACGGAGGAGCACAGGGGAGCACGGGGGTCACGGAGGAGCACAGGGGGGCATGGGGGAGCACAGGGGAGGACAGAGATCACGGAGGAGCACAGGGGAGCACGGAGGAGAATGGAGGAACACAGGGAGCATGGAGGAGCCCTGGGGAGCACGGGGGTCACGGAGGAGCACAGGGGGGCATGGGGGAGCATGGGGGGCCTGGGGGAGCACAGGGGAGCATGGAGGAACACGGGGGAGCACAAAGGAGCACAGGGGCGCACAGGCGGGAGGAGACCACGTGAGGATATCCTGCCAGAAAGGTGCGCTGGAGCCAGCCTCTCAGGGGGCCCGTGGGCGAATGAATTCTGCTCACACACAATGCGCTCACACCCCCCGGGCATCTTGTTAAAAGGCTGCCTCTGAGTCAGCAGGGCTGGGGCGGGGCCCGAGGGTTTCCAAGTGTCCGGGAAGTTCCCAGGAGACGCCAAGGCCGCGGCCCCCAGACCGCACTGTGAGTCTGAAAGTTTTAGGCCATGACTCGATCCTAAGAGCAGGGGCGAGGTCAGGGGAGGGGATTTTCCCGATATCCTCTGGACTCTGTGAAAGCATCTGGCAGCCCAGGGACCCTCCAGAAACCACTAAGGCTCAGCCGTGTGGGGACTCCTTCGGTGAGACTTTCCGCACAGAGCAGGCTGTCTCTGCCCGGCAGACACACCCCGCTCGGGTGCTGCAACTCAGAAACTCCGACGAGGGACAGCTCACATGGATATTTTTTTCTTTCAACTGAACTAAACTCGCCATAAAAAATATATGTATAGATATATACGTATACACACACATATACACACATGTCTATAGATAGCCAATCTCTGCATGTAATCACAGCCACACATAGGACTGAAATGAAATCTTACAGACACTAAATCATCTCACGTGAAATCATCAGAGGATTCAGGGGCTGGGATGGTTTCGTTGTTGCCGCAGGTGCCCCAGGCAGACCCAGACTTCTCCCTCCAGAGGCTGTGGGAGGAGGCATCTCAGGCCCGGCGGTCCGGTGGGCAGGATGGGTCCCGTCGGTGAAGGCGATTAACGAGAAACCAGTGAGCAGGCCAATGCTGAGATGCTGAGTACCCCCCGCATCCCCCCCCCCCCCGGAGGCGAGCACCCGAGCCAGGGCGGCCGAAGCTGGGGAGGTGAGGACCAGGAAATCAGCACCCCGCATACCACCTTCGACGCTCTCTCCCAGGTCCGCTGGGACCTTTGTAAGACAATCTGGGTGACAAATACGGGCCGAGGAACACTGCCCTTGGAAGAATCCCAGCGGCGAACGAATGTCCCCAAACAAAGGGTGCACTCCACCCCTCCACCATGCTTGCCGCTCAATCTAATTACTCACCTCTGCAGCTTTAAATCAAAGGTGGCTCCTCTTAAGTATAATTACCTTTGCCAGCAGCTTGTAGAACACAGTAAGTGAGGAGCTACTAAGCAGGAATGGTTTCTACAGGACATTATATATGCCCTGGACTAAATCAACGGCAGCCAGGACCCATAGCCTCGGATACACATATAACTCAGCCGCGAGCAAACGTATGCTGCTGGTAGAGCATCACGCATACACGTAAACACAGCGATTCCTTCGCCTGTGTCAGCAGGCTAGACACCCCACAATGCAGGTGAATAAAGTAAGAGAAAAGGCTTCTCTGAACCTCGAATGCACAGTCTGCATTGCTATGTCGGTTTTTCCGCAAGAAAGCAAGTCGCCATCCCACCAGCTAGTCTCTGAACCAGTCCCAAATACAGGAAAGGAAAGCAGACGAAGTCTCACTTTTTCCACCACTGAATGCCCCTATCTGACCACCTTTCTTACCCCGGGAAAGAGGCGAAAGAGCGAAGCCAACACGACTCTGGCTGACTTTGACGTACTCATTTTTCTCCCGTTCAACCTCGCCACATCCTTCATTCCGATGTACGAAAACATTTTTTTTTTTAAACCATGAGCATCTTTCTCATTTCAGGCTCGTCAATTCCAATTTTGCCTAATTAATAAATAAATCAACACCTGAAAGGAAGTGGAAGTTGCCAAGAACTTTTGGCCTTAACCAAAAGGAAGCTACGGTGAGAGAGACTTACAATGTGGTTCTTTCAATCCAGGGGCTCCATCTCACTTCCCACTCTACTTTGCATAAAACTGTTTCTTATACGGTGTGCCCAAAGCAGGATCGTCTCCAAAGGCACTATTCTGGTAGTCCTCAAACTGTTGGCTGTCACCTCCGTAATCATCACATTAACATTTATTGAGCACTTACTATGTGCCACATATGCACGAAGCACACTGTATACTCAATCCATATAATCCCCCCCCCCCCCCCCGGCAACCCCATATGGTATTAGGATAATTATTTTCAAAACTGAAAACCTAGTGCTTAGAAGGTTAACAGCTTCTCTGAGGTCAGACAAAGTAAATAACAGCCTCGATCTGAATTTTTATCTGAGTTCAAGGCCATGGGTTATAACCCTTCAGAGCATATAGTATAAGGCTGTTGACTCTGTCGGCCTGGTATCCCTTCTCCGTTCCTTTGGTAATATCACCTTGATTTTGCTTTGGCAATTTGCCACTAGTTGCTCCTGGCTCTTGCAGCCCTGGATACCTACATGAGGAAGGCGGGACAATGAGAAGCTAGTGATTGGTTCGGAGAAGGCCATGCAAACCCCCGTGGGCCAGTGTAAACCCTGAAGCATTTGCTGGGGGTTCTCTGAAGGAGTGCTTTCTTCTGCCAGCATTGCTAAGTCAGACGCTGCCAGGTGACCACTGTGACCGCCATGTGTAAAAAGGAAGGAAGAGTCTCAGAGATAGACCTGGCCCAATCCCACCCCTTAGGTCTCTGTACCTATAGATACCAAGGCTGAGGCTCAGTTGAGACACGCAGATAAGGTATAATTTATCATCAGCTACATGATTCATTAAACATTTGCCTTCTAGAAGTGCTGAGTGTGCCCTTGGAATCAAACACCCCTGGGGTTAAATTCTAGTTGCGCTGTATATATTTGCTATAGGAGCACATTACTTAACAGCTCTGTGCCTCAGTTTTCATATCTGGAAAATGGGGATATGAGCAGTGTGCCTACCTCCTTGGTTGAGAGGAAAGCTAAATGGAGTCAGGTACATGTAAAGGATCTGGGGCAGTGCCTGGCATGGAGCAGACATTCAGTAAATATTCACAAGTCTTGAATATTATTTTTCAGAGAACAAAACAGAGAAAAGTTTATGGTGAGCGGTGAAAAGGATCTAGCATAGCTGCTAACCAGAGGCAAATCCAAAAACCTTTATAGAAAGTTATTGCCCTAAATGCTGAATAGGGGCCAGGATGTGCAGACAAGAAGGATCCTGCGTCCAGGAATGGTTCATTGGAAGAGATCATCTATCCCTGATGGAACTGCCAGGAGCTGCCTGGGATAAAATCGTGATAGATCAACAGTTAGACCCAGAAGCAAACATACACACAAACAGAAATGAGCTTGAATTCTTAGTGACTCATAGATCGTCTTCATCCAGCAGACCGTCCGTCTGTCCGTCCATCCGTCCATCCAGTTAACACTCGCTGGCTTTGTTCTGGGCACTTTATCACTAACCCGTGAAGACAGAGGCTATACCTTCTTAATCCTCACAGTCCTGGCACACAGCACAAGGTCTTGAAAATAATAGAAATTAATACATATCTGCCGAATGAATAAAATAATGACTCTCAAATACAAGTACTCCATTCATGAACATATCTTCCACGAATCCGTCTGATCTAATCAGCCCTCCTTCCCTTACGTCATATCCATGTCTCTTTCAGGTTATTCCCGGAATGAGGTTCGTGCCCTGAAAGGGCTGCAGGCAGCAGCAGTGTCTGCCAGCAAAGTTTCATGTTCGAGTCCTCACCGCACACATTCCCCTCTGCTCCTCTGGGAGCAGGAACTGTCTTTTATTTTTCCTCCATGTTCCTCCCATAGAAAATTAAAACATCTCAACCCACAAATGGCTTTGCTGAGTGGTTATGTGTCACAGCTGTTTTCATGATGCAGGAATGATAGGAAACCCTTGCCCTTATTTTAATTAATTCTTTTTTCTTTTCGTAAAGAATGTTGTAAGTTTCCATTGCTACTGTTTTATCTTGGGGGACTGGCCACTAACTTGTCCAAGCCTTTCCCTCCTCTGCCGCAGGACAGCAGTCCGCGGTAGTGCCCCAGCATTCAAACTGAAGTGACAAACAAGTATTCCTGTTTGTTTATCGGAGTGCGGTGCCAGACTCAAAAGCTAAACCAGAGCACACAACTTTTCCTGTGGAGCGGGTGCCCAGGGGACTGTGGTCTACAGTGAAAATAAGATCATTGTTTAAAAAAGACAAAGAAAAAAAAACCCACCACCTCACACCGTGCACTGTTACCCATTTGAAAACACGTCCGTGTTCCTTACATATTCCGCTTAGAGTACTAACAGGTCAGTCCACAGGAAATGCAAGAATACGTTATATTTTAATCAGGGCACATAAAACACTGTCTAGAATGTTATGTTGCCCGAGGGAATGCAGTGAGCAGGGAACGTTTACAAACTCCAGGTCAGTCCCCCCATTACATCACTGTGAAAAAAAGAAATTTATGAGGTTAAATTATATGGATGTTATATATTGGAACTGTGAGCCCATTCCCAAATGAGAATGTTGGCTGAAAGAGCCAGATTCCCTGAGAGAAATTTTTAAGTACTTCTATTGTGGATGTTTTCCTGGCAACTTTCTCAAAAAAAAAAAAAAAAAAAAAAAGTAAAGACATATTCTTTGAAGATCATGAAATGAATTAAAAAAAAAGAGAAGTCTCGTGACTAAAGAGAATTCCAAAATTCCAAATTCCAAAAGAGAGGGCACCTAAAAGAGTGACTTGAACTCTTCTGCTCCAGAGACAAGAACACAGAAGTTACTTTGTGGAACTCGCTGGTGATTTATTTCATCTATTCCTCATCTAAGTGATTGGAAACACAGATGTTGACGCCGTAACCTTGCTTCCAGTAAATAATTCCTCAAAGGACACACATTTGCTTAACCGTCGTCACAAGATGATAAAACTTATGAAACATTTATGGAAGCAGCAATGCAGTTGTGTTGGTTTATGTGTTTGGGAAGTTTTGAAACTCCTAGCCCCAATTTCCCACCTCCCCTTCGTCCCTGGAAAGGAACAGTGTCTGAGGGGAGGTTCCCGTACCTGGACTGGAGAGATTGCCTCTCCCCTCCCCACCTCGTTCTTTCCTTCTCCATTTGTGGCTGCAGTTTGACAGTAAACAGAAGGGCTGTCGTGCTGATCTCAAAGAACAATAATTAAACCAAAGGGAGAGCAGACGAAGTACTCTGTGGGACCAAGAGAGGAAGAATAAAAACCCCGCCAGGGAACTGTTTTCTTCTGCTTTCGAGCCTGCTTCCGAGACAAGCGAACGTTCACATGTGCCGTGTGTGTGCATCCATATATCCAACATTTACTAAGAACCTACTATATTCGGCTCTGTGGGCACAAGTCATGCAGGTATCTAAATATTCCAAAGGCTCCAGCAACCTTGGATGACTCTTCGATTCACTCATTTATTCAGCCATCCGTGTATTTGACAAAAACACCTACTGTAAATGAAATGGTCCCCGTGATTTGAAGGATCAACCCCTGACATGATAAAATACAGACAAGGGAACAGAAATTGCAAGACAGTGTAGGGCCTACCTTCCTCTATCAGCTATTACTGTTACCCTTCCCATCTAGGGCTGATTTTCCTGTGCGGGACACACGGGCGTAACTATGGTTCTGTTTCCCAGAAACCCCAGGGAAGTGCCACAGACACCCCTGGGGAAATACACCGTGATGTTGCCTTCATGTTCATCCTGAAGAGCTTTCTGGTTGATTCCGTTAATAGCTTAGCCTCAGTGTGAGCATATGCATTGACTAGGTCCACCTCTAACACAAAACTCATGCATAATAAGGGCTTTCTACACTCTCTCCTTACCCCCAGAGACACACACTAACACTCGCTACATACCTGATCTGGCCATACGTGAAACATACATTCACAACACACATAATTGACATACAGTCACAACTCACCCCCACAGTAAAACAGACTCACAACACACATAGACACATTCTAAGGACTATGATGATGGTGGTTGTGAAAAGCATATGGTACCACGTGGTCCTTCCAGATCCTGAGGTCCTACCTTATTAACATTTCTCCCCCCAGGACCTAGCAGCTCACCCCACTACGTGTTTGTTCGACTGCATTAAATGTCAGTTTGATTGCTTGACATGTCACACGGCAGAAGTGACTACTGTTATCCTCTCCTTATAATACCTCTAAACAAAATCTGAGAGTCCATCCTTTCCTAACCCACCCCACCCATGTTTAACACCCCATGGGCTCCAGGATCTGGATGGCAGAATTATAAATAATGGAGGATATAATGGTCATCCAGCTCTGAAGCTCCATCCATCCCACACCCTGAGGACAAATGCGATTTCTTTTATGCCATTCACACTTCCCTTTTAATGTCTCTCTGTTCCCCACTCCACCCCAAGATGGCGACTGGTCGTATGCCTGACGTACTTGGGATTCATGCCATGTTGATGGCTGAGTCTCCCTCACTGTTGGGATTATTGACATATTTTATTTATTCAGTTTACTAGCCTCAAGCAAACATTTCACAAGCGCCTACTAGGTGCAAATGAGTGAGTTAAATTTTTGGTAAGAGAAATGTACATTTCAGGAACGTCCAAAGTAAGAAATATTAGCTGTTTCCATAATGTTTATTTTTCTCAACTAATTCTCTTGCTAAATTCAGTAAAATTCTCACAACTGTTTTTCTCTGCATCAATTACGTATGGGAGAATTGTAAAAATTCTTAAGAGTATCCAGTACAAGATTGCACATAATAAAGAAAACTTTAAAAATACGCTAAATATCGATTAACAGAGGAGTTGATAAGTGAGTAAAAATAATACATTCTTGTGTTAGAATATTATAAAACATATGAAAAGGAATTCACTATATTTTTAATCTATTATCTCTCCCTCCCTCTTTTTTTCTTTAGCTGCCTATCTACATACTTGGATAGAGCCTACACACAAACTTAAAAAAATCAATGTGCAAAACATAGTGTAAAAATATTTACATAAAAATATTAAACATATACAGAAGGACATTAATGCCCTTTGCTCCATATATATGCAGGCAGAATTATAAATGATGGAGGATATACCCACCAAAGACTGAATAGTGCCCATCTCTGGGGAGAGAGCAAGGGCGGGAGGGAAATAGTAGTATTTGCTGAGCGCTTATTATGCATGGAACACTGTTCTAAGTACTTAATAAGGATCTACTTTTTAAATCCTCATAATGGTGCTTGGGAGCCATTGTTCTCCTTTATGTCTATTTACAGGACTGAGGCACAGAGATTTTAAGATTGGTGTTCAAAGATGATATAACTTTACCTGTAAAGTTGAATTCTTTTGTATCTGAAATTTACTGACCAGGTGAAATAAATTCATCTTATTATTGATAGCTCTTCCTTCTAGTCTCTATGACTGACTATGCCCATCCAATATTAATAAAGAAAACATTTATGTCAAAGACAATAAAATAAGAGGCTCCTTTTATTCCATTACTCAATAAAATAACCTCAAGTCAGATAGCGAGGCAGTTGGCTGAACTGTATTATTACAAAGGTTTGCTTCAAAGTGCCACACACATTCAAAAATTAAACAACAACAACAACAACAACACAAATCCAAAAAACCTACAACCAACAACAACTCAAAACAATCTTAGGGGTTTTCTCCCCCCCCCCCCAAAGATGCTATCATGATTTCTGCCATAAGCAACACTTTCCCTCTGTGTTACACGTCCTCAAACTTCACAATCATCTCTGTTTCATATTCTTCAAAGTAATCATTTAAATGTCACCTATAATTAAATACTTACAAGTAAGAAACACCTTTAGAGACCTTGACCATAAATATTATGAGGAGCGATAAACCGGAAATCTGTGAGGGTAGCTTTCCAGTTGTTGAAATAAATAACGGGCCGGCATCAATGCATGTGTTCCATATTTTTGATGGCCAGGAGGAGTCACGGAGCCTCTAAGAGATTTATAGAGAACAGATGAGCAGCGTCTGACTTCAGGACACATCCACAAAGATGCTGTAGGAAGTGGGTGAGCACGATCACTTACTGAGACACCCCAGATGGACTGTGTTCGTGGTTTTCATGGTTTTTTTTTTTCCTACTTCTGTTTAATCAAACAGGAATGGACTTATGAAATGCCATCGTGGAAAGTGCAAGAGGTTTCAAAAATCCTATGTATATATAGGATTTTTTTATCTTCATAGGCTCAACCATTCAAGGTGGTGCTTTGGATTTAGATATGCCAGATGATGCTCTTTATTTATTTGTTTGTTTTATTTGCCACAATTGGCTTACTTCCACCTGGAGGAAACACTAAACTTCAGTCCATGCCCTAGGTCCCCACATCTCTCTCCTAGCCACTGGACATTTATTTATGTGACTCTGCTATCAAGCATTAAGTACTGTGACAAGCAACAGTACACAGTGTCTGAGTACTCTGGCCTCTGGTAGGCAGAGCCAGGTTTCAATGTCTTATTTGGAAGCTTATGAGATCTTGAAGCTATTTGTAATTTGGTAATTCTCTTATCTCTTCAAGGGGCCAATAATAAGACTCTCTAGCCGTCGGGATGTTATGGGGAGAGACTTTAAGTAGCTGGCCTGCACGAAGTCCATGTTCTGTAAATGTTAACTAGTAAGTGTAGGCTTTCTGGGTTAGCATGACGAGGGTCAACAAGCAGTATTACGTTGACCGTATTATGATGACGATCACTATTGCATTATGACAGTGACGGTTATGATTGGCACCATCTTCCTCGTCACCACCATTTGGATCCCATT